ATGAAAGGGCTACAATCTTTTCTTCTTCCTTCAGAATCAGATGCATTTTTCATCCTTTCTCAATAAATAATGTCTCAGAGCTGACACTGCTGGAAATACTCCACAGAGAGAAAACCCAAGTACATGGTTCAGCTCCTTCCTCCTCCTGCCCCAGAGGAGGAGGAGGCACAAGTCCATTTTTCCTGCTTGACTCTACTGAAAAATATGGTTTGCATGTTTATCCAAGGATCATGTGAGGTAACAGATGTAATGGGAAGGCTCCTACTGGAAGTAGAAAAAAATTTAGGTCATTTTTCAACCTTGTAGGTAAGAGCAGGCATTGAGCTGAAAGCAGGATGAGCAGCAGCCTTCCAGCTAAAAGCAGGATAAGCAGCAGCCTTCCTGAAGGATTATCTGTGGCAAGGAAGAAACTGAGTGAGCCCAGGTTTGTTTACAGTCACATCACAAAACAGACTTCTCCAAAAAAGCAGCAAATCTGGAGCCTGCACATGGCAAACAGCACGAGGTGGCCCCTGTGTGACTGCAGTTGGTTTCTTGCAGGGTCCACGGCTTTTCCAGCTGAAGAGCTGTGAATTTCCAGCAAATTGGCAAGCCTCAAATTTTACTGTTGTTGGCAGCTGACAAATCCTCCATCAGCTCTGGAATTTCCCTAGTGTTTTACTGGATTTTCACTGACAGAGTCAGATAGGTACAGTCTGTGTGCTTCTGCTGATGCAAATTGTTTTGTATTCACTGATGTTTGGAATAAAATAATGCCCCAGCAAACTCAGACAACATGTAGAACTTGGCACAGCTGCCACATGGATAGTCGGGAAAGGCCTGACATGGCTGGATCCACGAGCACTGATGGACAAGCCTGGAATTAGTTTTAGAATGTTCTACAGACCAACAACAGAAAAACACAATTCAGAGTTTTTTAAAGGGGTAGCTGGAAGGGGAGGATAATCAGCTACACAAGGAACCAGGATCCAACTTTTTTGCCTGTTCTTCAGTATTAGATCATGCTGACTTTCCTATAATAAATGCTGTAGGCACATGATAACCAAAAAGAGACAGGATGAGGACAGTCAGTGGTGTCAATTCCCAGCTTTAAGGCTGGACCACTATGCTGGCCAAGTCAATTTACCCAGGGCAGACAAGTCCACCCAGCTGTAAAATGAAACCATAATATTGACCTGGATTTGGGCTCTATGGGAGCAGACAAATACTCCCCAAGATAAGCATCACTGTGAGAGCATTCTTGCCCTGACATACCATTAAAAATAAAACGAAAGCTTTACGTTCCACTTAGGAAAAGTGAAAAAGGAGAAAGAAACTTTGTTTACCTTTGAATGGCTCTTGTCAAGTCACAGTATCTCAAACAATCCCAGTAAACATGATCTCAGGCTGTGGAGTGCTCCCAAGCTCAGCCAGCCTGACATAAGCAATGGGAAAAATCCCAGAGCAGGAACAGAGCAGAGAGTGGAGTGCCATGTGTCTGCTTGCTCCTTGTGCTCCAAAAACACATTGTTTGACCCCTGACACAACACAGACTAAGATTTCACAGAAAATCAAAATATCTTATTGCCCAGCAGAGCCATTTTTTTGCAGCAGCACAGACAGGTGTGCTCTGATGACACCAAAAAGCTCTGAGCCTTCAGGCACCCAGGTGTATCCTCACTGAGCAAAGCAGCTTGTGCTCACCTCAGGGTCTAATTCCTTTGCCAAAATATTGCACAAGTGGCACTCTCTGTTTGCAAAATGCTTCCTCAGGTGGGCCATCTGACACCAAATAGCAGATGGTTTATTGTCCCTCCAGCAAATAAGGTCATTCTGGGGTTCTAAGTGGGCCATGGCTTGGTTATACAGCTGCATTCACTTTAATGTTTTGCTTAAGATACCTGAGTGCTTTCTCTCTAATTCTGCCTCCTCTACTCCTCCTGCTTCAACACCTTCATCTGGAGGTATCAGAACCAACATCACAACAAACTTTCCAGAATTTCAGTGTACTGGGATCCATTCACATACTGGAGGCCGAAACAGAGAGCTCCTCTCTCTGCCAAACTAGAGGTAGCTCCACTGACCCTACTGCTGCAGGACTCTCCAGCTTTCTCACCTCAGGTCTTCTGCCAAAGTGTTTAACATGGATAAACCCCACTTTAAACTGGTTTTGTTCACTGGGGTGCCTTAAATACCTTTCTGCAGCGTGTCTGTTTTCATACCTTATGAACTTTGCTGCAGGATACATTCAGAAGCTGAGCAAGATTTTTAAAGTCCTTTATGGCACGTGACAGCCCCCATTAGGTGTGGTTTCAGAGCTGAATTCTGTGCTTGCCTTCATGTTGAAGACCTTCCAGACCCTTCAGTGTTATGATTTTCACAGCACTTTCCATCACAGTGTGAAACACAAAAAGCTCAAAGACAGCGGAAAGCCAAAATAAACAGCAGATTGTCAGGTCTCTGGATGAACAACTGCAGTTCCTTCCACTGAATCAATGTGGCTCGTGGATTTTCCCAAAACAAGGTTCTACCAAGTTTGCAGCTCTAACAGCCATCCCTCTCTTTGCTAAATTTCACATCAACGTTCAACAGATTTATATATTTATACAGGAAACTGAAGCACAAGCAAACACAGAACAGCTCAGTGTTACTGTCCTGGTCTGTGACAGATTTTTCCAGCAGGAAACAAACTGGGATTGCTGTGCACAGAACAAGGATATTCCAAAGAGCCAGCACAAACACACAAAAGAGCAATGTCGAGTTTGCAGCTGATTTAGCACAGCTCAGGAAAGAATAAAAGGCTGCCCAGCCTTGCCAAGTCACACTAGGTGAATCAGTGCCCTCATCCCTCATGCCCCGAGCCCGGCCTCCACTGTCCCTCCTCTTCAGCCAGGAATGAGTAAACCACCTCCTCTGCAAAGTGCCACCAGCAATATTTATATAATAATAATATTTATATAAATAACTTGCCCAGAGCTCAACACATTAAGACACAGATAAATCCACCTTGGAGCAAATGAAAGGTAGGGTTGGATGTTCAATTCTGGTGTACCAAGCAATATTAATTTCATTCTCAGCTTTCATAAACTTCTCAAAACCAGCCCTTTAATCTTATAGTGCTCACTTCTGATTGGTTTTTTTTTTCCCTAATTTTATTTTTTTGCTCCATTTTAATATATCCTCTTTAATTTCCTTTACAGCTAAGTACTGGTCAGTAAAAAATGGCAGAAATTTCCCTTACACCAGCTGTCACAGGATCTAGTGAGGATTTTAAAACAGAATAGAGTTGCAGCCCATATTCTAAAAAAACTCCGGTGAACCATGCGAAGAGCATTGTTTGGGAGCAATTGGAGAGATAACTGCACTCCTGACTTAACTCATTTATTGTCCTCAGTGTACAAAACAAGTAGCTGCAGTAACATCATCCCACTGAGAGTACTGAAAAGGACACAAAATAGAAAGCCTAATCTATATTTCTGGTACAAACTGTTCAGCAGCTTCAGCTGTACAATTGTTGTACCTGTAAACTGTTGTACCACAATACAGTGGTACAACTTTAGACAATCTGGCCTCATAGAAAGTAATTTTTTTACACAGAGTGCAAGCATGCACAATAAACAATCTTGCACTAGGTAGGGCATTTGACTAAAGCGAGTAAGCCCAAAAAATTGAGCTCCCAATGGGTTCTGAGTTATGCAGCTGCCTCTTTCTATTCCTGTTTTATTCAACTTCACTTAATTCCTCTTGATTCTTCATATGTGTACATCAGTTCCCTCTCAGTGTATTCCTGCTCCTTTTGAAAAGATTTTAGAGGAGGATCAAAGAAAAAGACAATTTTTTTTACCTTTGTAATTATTTGTCTGTTACTATGATTTCACAGTAATTTTAGAAGCTGGGGCTGAGCACAATGAAGCTCAAGATGGGAAGAAGAAACCATGTTATTTCCAAAGCTGCAGAGATGTTTTCCTTTCCTGTCCAATAAGCACCTTGCTTTTTTTGTTTTGTGAGTGTGGCCTCCCCTCCCAGGTTCCAATACCTCAATACACCATGGAACTTCCCACCCACTTTGCTTTTGGGAAGGGGCAGGATACAGCCTTCCCTCAACCCCGATGTCCAGCAGGCTAAAGGACATCCAAAGAGCAAGCTAGCATAACTAATGGATAACCAGGAACCAGAATTTCCCATTTAAGATTTCTGAAATAAACAGGAACTTGGATATGCACTTGGAAATGGGGAACTGAGCCTGTAACAGCCTGGGTCTTCCTGCAGAATGCAACTGGGGAGCAGGAGCTGCCTGACCTGTCAAGGAACTCAGCTTGTGGCCAGGCTGTGAGGGCTTCTCAGCTCTCCTCTTGCCACCAGCCTGTCAGGCAGACTGCCAAGGAGCTGGGCAGGAAGGAAACCAGGGAGGTTTCCAACAGAAAAAACGTCCCTCTGGAAAACTTCTGACCACTCTAATAATGGGCCTACTTTCAGAGTCAGTTACAGTGCTGGCAGGAGGCAGGGAGACCCACTGCATTCTCTGTTTAGTTATTGGCTTCCTATCCAAATTCCTTTCTGTACGAGACACAGGGCATCAACTGAAGTAATCCTTAGAAGGATGTTCATAAATCCCTCCAACCCCCTCCACAGCAAACGTGGCTTTTCCCCAGAACGATGACAATTGTTAATTGGTGCCATTCAGAAGGTAACATTTTCTTTGGTAAGGTCTTTACCGCTTCAGGCAACCACATGTACTTTTGGCAAGGTCTCCAGACAAGCCCTGTTGGCAGCACACAGCATGTGCCTCGCTCGGAAAGACTGCATGAAAAAACAGCTCACTTTCCGGTTCCAATTCCAAGGCTTCGTAAACTTGGCCACACAACCTGGACTGACTGCAGGAATAACTGATGCCTGATAGGTAGCATCCACAAAGCTGCCCACACAGTTACCCTGCAGAAGGGTAAAAACCTAAAAAAGGGCAAAACCCCTTCTCAGCCTAATTCCACAACTACCGAGAGTGAGCTGACTGATTTACGTACCGCTCGTTGCTCAGGGTCATCCGTGGAGGGTCAAGGTTGGGGTTCTCCATGGACTCCATCTGGGGACAGCGTAGGAAGTAGTAGAGGGTGTGGAGAGCATCAGGGGACCAGGAGATGGGCTGCTGCTGCCGGGTTTGCCGCACGGGGCTCATCCCAGGGCGGATGGTGTTCAAGCACTGCATATGGTGCATCGCTCGTGAGACCAAATCACCTGCACAGAGAGAGGAATAAAGTCCTTTTAAGTGCACTTTTTGACCTAAATAACACTTCTCTGAGCTAAGAGAAATGTCTTCTGTGTGCACACAATTTTCCTCCACAAAAGCCTGTCCTCAGGCTGCCACTCTGGAGGTTGTTGCGTGGGAAATTTAGTAAGTAATGGCCAGTCTTCGCGAGCGAAGATTTGGGAAGGGTCATTAACCCTTCGAGCCTGCGCAGTGGATTTTTTAGGTGAGACACAGCGTGCGCTGAACTGAGCCCACCCTTTAATCCTGAGGTTCATCTGCCGGGGCCGAGTGAAACTCGGACAGTGGCAGTGAGGGTCTCAGAACGTAGGTTTTGTTTAGAGTGACCTTCTCTTAGATGGATTGCCTCACAGGGCTGACGAGCTCCATCTGCCCGGGGGGCCGGGAATCGAACCCGGGTCGCAGCGGTGAGAGTCCTGCACCCTAACCACTAGACCACCAGAGGCCCCCGTGGGAAATTTAACTTGCTTTCAAATGACAAGTTATTACTTAGAAAACATTAAATGAAACTCAGTCCCCACACATTCAGAACAACAGCTTTACACTGAGTTTTCTGGTTTAGTGCTGGTTTTCATCTCTTTCCACCCACATACACCAGTTTCTTGCCTGCCTACAAAAACTACTGATGTCTTTGTAAAATGTCCTCTGCCCAACCTGGGAGCAACAGCTTTCACAAGGCAAAGCCATCAGCACCAATACAAATACTTTACCCTCATTTCTGTTATGAGGTTGCTCCCATCTCTTCCAACTGGGTCATGCTGTTCTACCCTCCTGCCTAGGAACTTGAGCAAACCAATGACATTATGTTCAATACAGAAATTCCTTCTTTTAGGGATCTGCTGCTCTCATTCTTACTGTAGCTGCAGGTTTCTCCAGAATAACAAGACCTGACTCTTTTATTAAAAAGCCAATCTTTATCATGCTGCTTGTCACAAGCTGTGCCAGAAATTTGCTCCTGAGCTTAATCCAGGAACTTTCTGGGCTTCTCAATCCTCTCGGTTTTTGAACTCGAGCCAACCTGCCTCTATGCTGGAGCATGGTGGACCTGAGGAGGCCTGGAAGAAGGTGACCTGTATTACACAGTTTCACTCAGAAAGGATTTTAAGACTGCAGATTTTCAAAAAGTTCACAAAGCAATGACCCCAAATCTGCTCTTTGTGTAATAACCTTGCTTTATGCACACCCTGGTTACTCTCCTCGTATTCTGGTGCATTACAAAATCTAAAAAACCTTTTAAAAGTTTCAGACATTACATCTCGGAGCAGTGTGACTACAGGGAGCTGAATTATTACTATAGATTACTATACTTAGCTAGGATCTATTTTTTCCTTGGGAGAATCCTCTATTGCTTTATGTTTAACAGTCCCCTAAAACTCTCACAGGAAACGTTACTCTATTGTGTCCAAAAGTCACAATACTGGGAAAGGATGGAACTGAAATAGTCGCCCCATCACAAAGCTGGTTCCTGAGAAGGCGCCCTGAGTTTAGCTGTGAATTAGTAACACCTCCCTCTGAAATCCTTAGGAAGTTGTTATTTGTTCATTAATATCTAACAGCAACACACTCAATTTGCCAACCAAACTCTGGCTGAACCCCTGGGCTTCTGCTGTTACACAGGAGAAACCCCTAAAAAACTACTCTATGTCTAAACATGACATTATCAATGGAGTATTAAAAATCTCACTTTGCAATCTAAAGCTGTGCCACTCGTTTGTTGTACAGTATGTTCAGCTTAAGGACCCACTTCAGAATTAAAAAAACCTAACAACTCTGCCTTTCCATTCCAGTAGCCACAAGATCTGCACATTTTATGAGAATATCATGAATCCTCCAGCACTGGTGCTAACACAGAAGTCTGTGCAGTTATAGCAGAAATGCATCTGGAATTCAAATATTCAGCTCAGAATAACGTTCCTTCTCCTTTGCACACTCACTCTATTTTTCTGGCAGTGTGCAGCAACATTTAAAAGAAAGAAAAAAAAAAGTAGGCAACTGTATCAGGAGATCTATTCACTGGATGTACTGACCAAGTTGGCCAAGGCAGGGATGGGGGAAGAGAGGGAGAGAGGAAGCTGTATTCAATCTCAGGCCCTTGATACAAATGTTCTCTTGTGTTCCAGGATAAATAGAGGTGTGTTAAAGGAATTTGAAAACCTCAAATTAAGGCAGGTTGCAAAATAAATGGTGAAACCCACAAACTCCTTGCTGGCCCTGACATTCATTAGCATTCAGATGGTGCAGACTAAGAAAGTGATGCCAGCAGAAACTTTGCAAGGGAAAAGTAGGACCAGGAAAACACAAATCATTTTTGTTTACTTTAAAGGGGTTTTGTGAGTACTCTAGGAATGGAACATTTCATTTGCTTAGCACGAAAAAAAGAAGGGTTTGAACAAGTTTTTGTTACCCAAGTGCTCTCCGATTTTTTTCCTCCGTTTTTTGTTTTTTAAGTAACCAAAAAGCTTTTCCTTGAATATCCTGCACCCTTGACATTTCCACTGCAGAAACACTAACAAAGTGGAACCCTGTCTGCCATCTGAGGGAGGTGCTTCACAAATGTGCAAGAAATCCTCCACAGGCATCTGGGCAAGAGCATCCATCTTCAGTTGGCACTAACACCACTACCAAAAGGCTAGAAAAGCCACATCTTGTATATCTCCAGGTGAATTAAATTTAAAGCAGACTAATGAAACAAGCTGATTTTCATAAACAGCACCACGAGACAATTAAATCTTCCCCAACGTCAGCCAAATGCTGCTTGTGCTGTCAACAATGGCAACGCTCCCACTGACCTCAGAGGAGGAACTGGCTCTCCTGCTTTGCTGAAAGAAACCTGTGGTTGATTGCAGCCAAAACTTACTCAGTTCAGAGATGCTTCCAACACACGTTGCCAGCAGGGACTGCTCCAGGGTCCGGAGTTCCAGCTGGGCGTACGCGTCGGCCCGTCCGTCGCTGCACACCGAGCCGTCGTTGTAGGGGCTGAAATAGGCAGGTAGGGACAGCACACCTGGGGCAAGAGCAGACAACAGACCTGTTAGAAGTGAAGCTACAGGTGTGCAAAAGCAAGTCCCTCTAAGAGAACTCAGCACCTTTCTTGGGGGACTTGAGGTCTTCTGACAAGTTCAAAGAAAATCAAACTGTGCCATAAATACCCTTGGAATGGTTGAAACAGGGAAATTGGGCCCTGGGGACTGAGTCTGGGTGTTTCTTCAGCCTTTAAAAGCTCAGAACAAATTGCAGTTGAGATAAAACTACATGAAAAGCTTCGGTGAAGTCTCCACTCTTGTTTACACAACAGCTCTGCTGCACACACAGCTCAGCTTGCTGGGGAACAGCTGTATGCAGATTGTGGGATACAAGGGCCTGACCCGGAGATGTGGAACAGCCTTGAGTCCACCTCAGGTAGCTGAAATCTCTGCAACCCTGCAAACAAAACCATGGGCTGTGCCAGCCCTTTGAACCTGCCACTGCAGTTTCAAATGCTCAGACTGTGGTTTCTACATGTGCAAAGATCTGGATAAGCCAAGCAACGCCCACGAGTTTTGAGGTTATATTTTCATCTCTATAAATGACCCCTGCGCGAGAGACAGAGATTAGAAAGATAATTACATTGCACACATGCATTTACCACACACACACTCCTTCCATCTCCTCTTGCATGCATTACTATGCAGTCATTGATGGATTTGCACTCAGTTTTGTTAGTTGTTGTTGGGACCCCATCCCACTTTGTGCATACTCCTACAACTCATCTGCATTACTGGCAAATTAGAGACCTTTTGGGTAAATTGGCTGAAATGGCAGTGAAGGGTATGCTACCAAGAACCCACACATTAAGATGCAGGCAGTCTCTAACAGGGGCACTCATTCACTTTCCCCAAGTCACCTTTCTCACCCATTATCTTTGGCTGACCATGGCAGATCTGCAGCCACAAGGCAAGTCAGTGCAACATAAAGATCAAAAAAAACATGCCTTCCCTGCTTTCCTCCCAGAAATCCATTAGTTGAATAGTTTCTCTTCAAATTAGCCAGCTGAAATTTGTTGTCTTTTGGCCACAAGATTGTTCCATGTGGCACAGGGAAGGGGGAATGTGATCCCTGGAGCTGGTGTGAGACAGGGAGCTGGGTATGTGATGGGGGCTGGGGTGGGACAGTGACCCTGGGGTGGATCAGATGAAACCCAGCGTGACACTGCATCCACATGGCGGGTGGACTCCGAAAAGCTGCCTGCAGTCACTCAACCAGTGTTCCTGTGCCCTTGCTACTGCCACACCTTCAGCTGTGTTTGACTGCTACCACAATTTTAATTACAGATCCATCCTGCAACTGCAGTAGCACCCCCAGCCCAACTTTTTCATGATTTCAGACAAGGATGCTAACAGCCACGACTGCCTGTGCTCTTACCCTGCGGCATCCTGTATTTTTGCTTTTTAGCTTTGATCCATGCACAGCCATACCAATCCATTTCAGCCTGGACCCACATTTCCTTCCACCCTTCACCTCCCGACCCTGGGTCAGTCTCAGATGTGGAGATACTTTGCTCCTGTGGCAATGACCTCCTGTCTCATTGGTGCTGTGTATTCTTGTTCAACAAAACCCTGCCAGAGGAATGGCAGCACATTGTACAAGACCTTTTGTTTCTTTGTCTTGATGTTTTCTTTTGAGATTTTATGCTGCATTGATCTCTCCTACCCTTTTCACATCCTCTTCGCATCCTGCTTGGTGGTAAAGCCAAGGGCTGCATCAAAAACTTCCTGGACATTATGAGAATAAGGGAATGATTTATCCTGTTGTGCTTCTTCACTGTACATCACTGTTAGTTAATGGAGAACACTTTGCCAATGCCCTCTTAACCTGAATAATTAGGAAGTTAAGGCTTTAAGAGCTACCAGAAGTGATGCATGCAAACTAGAAGAGCTTGCTTTAAATACACTATACAGAACCTAAGCCACTTCCTTTTCCATGCCAAAGCTATGAAAGGATGTTTGAAAGACATATGGATTGAATTTATGGCAGAGGGAGAATGAAAATAGACTGATTTGTCAAAACTTTCAAATAGAGGCACATAATTCTACAGAGGCGAAAACAGAAACTGGCAGTTACATTACCAGGAAAAAAATGGGGCACATTTTCTCTGCCAGCCGGTTCCAGTTGGTTCTGTTTTCTAACAAGGAATTAAAAATAAAGATTTGCAGAGGGATTGAAGTTGGCTCCCAGACACAACAACATTTTCTCAGTTTTTCAGTTAATGCTTCACCAGGTGGTGTGAGGAAACAGGGAGGATTTATTTACCTTTGGAAAAATGACTCACGCAGGATGGTCGTGGATGAGATTTATGTTGTCATCTGCCTTGGTACAGCTGAGGAGCATCCTCTGTGTACCAGGGAGAAATAAGGAAGTTACCAAGACTTGGGCAATGCGCCAAAGCCTGATGGTGCCACCGGGAATTTTCCCTGGGATCGGGAGGGGTATGAATCAGGCCCTCATGATATAAGGTTTCAAAGGCTCCTTGTGTCTGGCAGGCCTTGATAGATATGAGCAGTCCTGGGAATGAGGACACACCTCCCAACACTGATTTTGAGACAGGGAGAACAGTGACTAAACTCTACTTGTGGGGTAGAAACATACCCCACAATTATTATATCTTGCAACACCCTCATCAGGATTTCCTCTCTGATACACTTCCAGTGGAGTTGGAAGAAGCATCATCTTTGCTCTTCAGATCAGAAATTCAGGTACAAAGACATTTGAAGTTGAGCTTTTCCCACTGGTATTATAATTAAGAACAGGACTCAATCATTTATATAGAATAAAAATAGTTGTTTGATAACAGACAACTGCCTTGTGATGACTGTTTATACCCCAAACAGTGGTTCCTGCTCTCCTGCCTCTCAAATCAAGGAATGTGCAGTCAAAAGGTGTTATAATGGTAAACCACAGGGACAGTTTCTGTCTGGCATTCACATTCCTACATTTTTTGAATGTTTAGAACTACTGCTTTTAATCACAACTGGCTAAATAAGCAAAACTGGAATTGAAATAAATCAATCCATGTCAAAACACTCTCTGTTTGAAATCACCTTCAGACTGCCCACTTGTTTCCTGACTTGCAAATATGCGTTTTCCCCATAAAACAACAATGTGAAACAGTACATAATTACACTGCAGGAATGAACTGCTCTTACAGTATTTACTCTATGTTGCGTTTCCTACAAATCCCTGGCTTTATCCTGGAATTCTGGTCACTTTTTTTTCAATTAACTAAGATTTTAAGTACAGGATCCAAGCCCAGGTGAAGTTAGTGAGTTAGTTAATCAATTAATTTGAGTGTGGCTTAGCTCAAACCTCAGCAGAAGGAGCTAAGAATTCACCTCTCTAGAATGGTGTGATTCTAGATTAACAATTTGTTTCTCATATTTCCATAGCCTTTGAAACAGCAGCTGGAAATAAAGGCATATTTATTCTACCTCAGTTAAATATGAAACCTGCTCATGAGCACTTGCTGCCAACCATCTTAAAAGACAGTCACGACTGGGTGAAATTCCAGTTAAGCAGTTCCTTAAATTCAAATTATTCTGCTTGCCTAAAGAGTTTGAAATTGTTGTCTGTAATTTGATGCTTTTTAATAGCAACTGAAAATGTTTCCAGTCTGAGCAAGATCCAGGGAAAAGTCTGTTCACACTCTTGGACATCTTTCTGCTTTAGGAGGTGCAGCAGTTCTGTGGAGAGCTTTGGCTGTAACGTGACAACTCCCACAAGCAGGACTGGGCAAACTCCTGCGTGGTTTCCAGCATGTGCTGGAGCTCCTCTGCTCTGGAGACAGGCTGGGAGAGCTAGGGGTGTTCAGCCTGCCGAAGAGAAGGCTCTGGGCAGACCTTAGAGTCCCTTCCAGTGCCTAAATGGGCTCCAACAGAGCTGGAGAGGGACTCTGGACAAGGGGGAAGGGCCTTAAGCTGAAGGAGGCCAGGTTTAGATTGGATATTAGGAAGACATTTCTTCACTGGGAGGGTGGTGAGGCCCTGGCACAGGTTGTCCAGGGAGGTTGTGGATTCCCAATCCCTGGAGGCATCCAACACCAGGCTGGATGGGGCTCTGAGTAACCTGGTCTAATGGAAGGTGTCCCTGCCCATGGAAGGAGGGTTGGAACTGGATGATCTTTAAAGTCCCTTCCACCCCAAACCATTCCACGATTCTGTGATTCCCTGAGCTGGTTCTGCTCTTTTGGTATCACAATAAAGTAAATGCAGAATTTTACCTCAATTTTATTTTAAGATCTGAATGTTTAAAAATCTTATTTCAAATAATTTTCCAACTATCCATTGTATCTTCACACTTCACATTGTTTGCATGTTACATTCATGGCAAAAGGACTCTCCATGATTTTTACCTTGCTGGAGTGATTTTCTCTGGCCTTTCCCTCATCGGATTCCTTGATGTTGGCAGACAACCTCCCAGTGATTAACTCATCAGCCATTTGATGACTTTCAAACACTTCTCTGATGTCTAGAGGTTAAGATGGGGCCACTCACAAGTGGCAAAGGGCCAAGGAGACTTGGCTGGAAAGCACTTGAATTCTGCTGTCTGGGATTCCTCATGGAAATTGCCCAGGGTACTAAGTCCCTTATTTCAGAAATGCACTGGCTGTATTCATGACAGATTAGGCAAAGGATCGGGAATATAATTAGGACAGGGGTTTACACCATAAATTACTGACAGAGAAAAAGTCTTTTTTTTTTTTTTTAAATATACCAAGTAAAGTCTATGAGACAACGCAATGTGTATTGATTTCTCCCTTTGGCCAGAATTAAACCAGGTTCTTTGGGTAAGGATTCTCTGTGCGTTCTGTTTTCATTGCACCTACATCAGTGGTGATTGTTACTGAACGCTTCCATAATACAAATTACAACAGCAGGAACAAAAGTACCTATTTGGTCAAATCAACCAGAAAGCCCTTGGAAAATTCAGGATCACCTTCATACATTATAAATTGTTTCTAAAAGCCCCATA